TATATACTTACCTATAGTACTTGAAAACAAATGTTCATATCCATTCCCAAATAAACTAATGTTATCTATGAGAAAAATGTCGATTTTATCTTAACTTCGTCGGCACCTGGAGAGCAGATCACAGTGATGATAGAGGTTCGCTACCATATGTATAGCGTCTGTTGCTGTATTTTGCTGTAATAGGTTCGTTATCGTGCGTATTGTTTCCGAGCAGCTTCTCGGGCTTTATCAACTCACGATTTTCAGGGATACTCCATTTTTCTGACCCTAGTTGCAACAATGATACGACACCTCCTAAAGGTATCGTTTACAACTCTACAATACATGCCTTTTCTTTCTGTAAGATGCCGTCTTTCTTTATTCTTAAACAATTACTGATCACGTTAGATAAAATTAGCAACATGTCGTTTGCTCAACACGCACGTACATAAATTCTCAATCCGCTAAGTAGCATCCGGTTAAGCTAATACGTGCTAAAGAGCTAATATTGAACCTACTGCTGATATTTTTTATTTTTACCAACTACTGAAAAAGCTAGCTCGATTTTTACATTATTTTTTGAAAGAGCTGTCCTGGGCTTTAGTGACGCGGTTTTTTCAATCTCAGCCTCTTCGTTTGCAGTCATCCAAGCAGTTCTTTAACATTTCAAATATACCTACATTATACCACAGGCATTGTTCTGCCCTGGTCAGAGAGCTGCGAGAACGAGTACGTGTAAGTGTAGGATAGGAATTCGTTGAAAAAGTGCCCAAAGCGAGCATTGCGCGAATCGGACGATCTACGAGGCCGGTCACGCTGTTCTTATCGCAGCTTCTATTTGTCTACCCGTGCTGTGCCAGAACTTGCTACGAAAGGCTCCAAAGTCAGTTTATCTACATATATTATAATATTGTCGCCTCCGTGGCTGAGAAGAGCAGCACTCTTGGATTTTTCATTTTCGTTCTGCATTAGCCTGCTGCTGTAATGGTCTCAGTGCAGCCGAACATGTCGGAAGTCCTCATAATGGTTGTCAACAGCACGCGGTCCCGAAGTGTCGGTCAAATCAATCTCGGCCGGTGCATTCCTATCGCGCTCTCTGCCGCCCTGGTTTTCCTTGAGGCCTCCATTGGCATCCTTCGCATTCTGCAAGGCGAACACGCTCTGTGGGCGGTTGAGGCTGCTGATTATTTGTTGCTCTTGTAGTGCTTGGTCTTTCCGTCACCGTTGTGCATTTTTCCCGATTTGGTCTCTCTCTCTCTCTCTTTCCATGACCTTCTATTCATTCTCGCATTTGCCATCACCCTAAGTGACTCACAGCCACACACACACACACACACACACGCACCCACGCTCGCATACCCGCAAACTTCTTTACATTTCATGCACTACTCACATTGAAGTTGACGGAGTTGGTCGCTGGCGACAGCGAAATGCCATCCTTGAGATAAGTTGGATTTTCGAAGCTAACACCATGTGGGGCAGCGTTTGATGGCCCGCCACCGCTTGTGGCACGTTTGTGCCGTCGATAATACCACATGAATCCTGCCGCTGCGGCAGCCATAACGGCTAGCGCAACCAAAAGCGAAATGAAAATGCGGCTACCATCTGCTGCAGCGACGGACTGACGCTCACTGTATGCCGTAATATCATTACTGTGTACGACGAGCGCATCGGCCGGCTGACTCATGCCGTAATGGTTGCCCGCCTGAAGTGTCAACGGCAAGAGAAGTAAAAGTCAGATCTTTTTTTGGTTAAATCTGGTAAGATATCCTGTCTGTAAGATAGAACTGCATTAGGGCCAGAGATAAACAACGCTCAATGCATGACTGCATGGAAATCGAACTTTTTTTTCTAACTGGCATGTAGTATATAACTGGAGATTTTGTCATTTGCTACTGGTCGCAGTGTTTGGGCAACGATATACAACCTTAAACTCAATATATAAAATTGTAATACTTGTTTGTGTTTTATGTACATGATCACTATAGACCAAGCCGAATGTCTTGTTACCTTGACTAGAATCTCGTAGATCTTATCGTCATCAGCTGGGAAGCGGAATTCTCGCTTGTCAGTCTCATTTTTATTGGCATCCATCGAGCCGACATGCCTCCAGAATATTTTATACCACTGCACAACTTCGGGATGTTTTGTCGGCGGCTCCCACGTGACAACGATCTCACCGGGTAGCTGTAAGGTTGGCCCTCATGCTTAATTTCATTTTAAATAGTTCATCTTATCGTCTCATAAACGTGCCTCTAAATTCTCAGTCATTTTTCTGAATTTACATGCTCCGCGCACAGGTTGAGCCATAGTTATTAGGACACATACCCTAACACCTTTGACCTTGAGTGGAGGTCCGGGCAAAATTCCTTTGCCTTCCTCGAAGCAGCTAACAACTTCTCGTGCCGAGATAAGAGCGCAATGCGTGGGTACTTGCACGGGCCTGCCTGCACACCATCTCTGACAAGCCCAGGGCACCCCTCTACTCTTACAACAGACCCGATGGTCACTGCCATCGGCAGCACAAAACATGAGCTTATCAAGGTCCTGTATACACTCAGGTTTTTTCAAGGCGTACATAATGTCGACATCGTAAGCACAGGCAGGCATGCACGCTGCTGACACGCCTTGATGTGTACAGCACGACGAAGAGTTCTTGCGCACTGCATCCATGACTTTCAGCATTACGGTACGTGTCATCATACCGTATTGGTTTGTTGCACTGCAAAAGTATTTTCCAGAATCCGCCTTCGAAACGTGCTTCAAAATCTGTTTCGTGAATGATACAGAAAGGTGGTATTAGACAGATGGCTGGCCTTGCCAAGCTTTTTCGCTGTTTCACTTACAAAGAACTTTTGCAAAATATTTTCAGTAACCTCCATATCTAAGTATATAATGTACATAAATTCTTCTATATGGTTTGGTGAATTTTAGTCAGGCCGCTTTCGATTGTGTGACGGGCTTCAGAATATGAGTACTCACAAGGGATGACGTATATGTATGCGGCATCTCCGTATCAGGAATTGCCTGCAGTCCAACCGTGTCTGTTGTTCGGATAGAATTTCTGCTTTGACGATCCCGATCCCAGTGGAATTGCGGCTCCGGGAAGCCAGACACCTTACAGCTAAGTCTAGCCGTTGCGCCCTCTTCAGATTGGACCTCTTCAACGGGAATAGTAACTATTGGACTGGAAAGCACGTGCACGCTTAGGCTTGTGTACCCTCCAGAGCCATACCCATTATCGGCGTAGCATGACAATCTAGTTATATTGCGCGTTATATGCTGCAGTGTGACTGCCACCTGAAACCATCAACGTGAGTTTTCAAGGCAAGTTAGTACACATAAAAATTTGACATGCAGTCACTTACTATAAACTACTATACTACTATTACTATATGATAAATTGAGAGGTGACCTTTTTTTATATGATGATCGTAGACTACTACAACTACGACTAATGACTGGAATCTGCCGAACTAACCTGATGCTGTGGAAGCGCGACAAGGAGCTGTCCGTTGATATAGATTGATGTATTGGGCGTTGGCACACCATAACCGAGACACGCGACAGTGATGTTGCTGCCTTCACGAATTGGCCCAATGGGGGCTATAAGTGGCAAGTTGACATATGCCGGAATTGCGGCGTCCGTCCATGCTAGAACCACCTGTATATTCACCAACACCATTGAACACAATTGTTACTGACCAGAAGTCCCTAGATATATAACCTTTCCAGAATTCTTCGACTCGCTTCATTAATTAGAATTATTAATTATGCATTAATGCGCTTCTAGTATATTAAATTTGTGCTCCACCCTACCTCTGACATAGGACTGCTCCGATTGCCCTCTGGAGTGCGTGCCTGTACAGAGATCTTGTACTGTGTGTCGTACGTTAAGTTTGTCAAAAGCGTTTGGGTAAACATAGTCGTTACAGTATTTGGTAATTCGTCGACATCGGAAACATTGCCAGTGACATTCGTTGCTTGGAAGTAAACAGTATAAAGCACCTCCTGATTGGCTGGCACGTGGAGCGGAGGCTGCCATTTAACTGCGATTGAACGCACCGTTGAGTGAACCACTTCGACTCCGTATGGTGGACTCAATACGGAATCAATTCTAAATGGTTTGATATTTATTCCAAAAAAACGAACAAGCAAACAACACAATAATGTTGAAACATCAAATTTTGGTTTCTAACTCATGCTAATACGCTTTTTTAAGCCAACTATGACTTCAGTGTTTTGTAGCGCTGGGGGCCCCTCTAAGGCGTTATTATCGGATTCTAATACAGAAACATAGAGCACACAAGGACAAAGCACAGAAATACCTTTTATCGTTAACGCCACTGATTGGCGTAGTGACGAGAACGATGAGCGATGGCGTAGATTGTCCAAACTCGCTAGCGGCCACTGCGTAGAAACTGTACCTTGTGTTTTCCGTCAGGTTATTAATGATTGCCATCGGAGCCCGTACAGTTATATTCTGTAAAGAAATAGACAATAACAATTGGAGCTTTATAAGCCATCATGTAACCAATAAAATAAACCTAAACGTACCTGCGTAAAAGAATAAAACGCCCTTATTTTCCAACTTTTACGTCCATTATAATATTTATTTGGGTTTACTTTTCTAATCACAATGCTGTAATGTTTGTTATATAAGGGTTTGCATTGGGGATCCTTGACGATCAGAGTCCTACAAGTCGATGCGCCGAGGGCTTTGTCACAAATGCCACCTCCAAATAAGGTGAGTATCTTTTCCAAGTTGCGTTTTTCGCTACGGCTTTTCAAGGAGGCATTTCTTAAGGAATCTGCCCTATATTCATCTTTTAATTAGCTAAGCTGGGATGGTATGAAGCCTGAACAGGCGTACAAAAAAAATCATCACTAGTTTAAAGGAGAAAATCGTCTGCTGTCGACACTGTATAACCTAGCTTACCATGGTGTAATTAAGTGGCGTGGGTGGTACCATGTCAGCGGAAACTTCGGTCCAAAAAACTCTGTACTCGGTTACGTTTGTCGGTTCAGCTGGCTTGTCCCACTCAAGATGAACGGACGTGGGAGTAGTAAATGCCACATGGAAGTCTACCGGCATCGACGGAATTTGGCCTGTTCCTTCTTCCATGCACTATAGTCAAATGACAAAGACGATGAAAAAAGCAAGAGGTTATCGACTGGAGATTAGAACGACATGATTAGTATCACAGCCAAAGTTTGACCTGCGTATTTATCCAGAAAAATCAAATTCTTTAATTAGGTAACCAGAATGATTTGCATTTGCTTTTTCCATTAGCATTATGAAACCACCGTTGTCTAATACCACTCTGGTCATACCCCTCACAGTGATTAAAAAAGTGGACACCTGAGCACGGGTACCCGCCCAGTATGCATATTATATTCATTGCACTTGTTGCAGAGCCAAGTGAACAATTTGTTTTCTTTGGTCATTGCTAAAAAATTGCAGAAATAAGTTTTGAGTTCAGCGGTCTGTCATGGCAGTTTTAGTTCAATTTTAATTTTATCATGAAAGGAGGAACGCGCTTACTGTAAGAATGGCCCCCATTTCTCGAGTACAGAGACGGGGATTGAATGAGTCGTACTGATTGGCGGTAGTCTTTCCGGCGCACATCGATATGCAGGCTGGGTTAACCGAGTAGCGCTGACAACATGGGGTGTGGTCCCTGCCACCCGCACCGCACCTCATTAAAATATCGAGCTGGTGCATACATTTAGGTCCCAACATTTGTAAGTCATGCAGCTTCACCTTATAACTGCATAGTGGCAGACACTCAGGGTTAAGTTTGGCGTCGACACAGCATTGAGTTTCGTTATATCCGTCAAAGGTGATGTTTCTAGGTTCAGGCTCAATATCGTGTGTCCGGAAGATCAGTCGCTCGGATCCTTCTGACGAGCCGAACTTGTTTTCAGCCGCCACGAACACTTCGTAAGTGGACGATGGCTCCAGTCCATCAAGGAGATAAGGTGGATCAACGCCTGATATCTGGAAATAGGGATCATTGTCATCATCTCCATCAAGCTTTCGATAGTAAAACGAATATCGCGTCACGGTGTCCGCTTTCTCCCTGCAAATGAACGTAATACATAAGTTATCATACTGTTATCACAATGATTAAGCTTTGTCGCAGCATAAAAGCAAGACGCGCAATGATACGAACGTAATTACTATCATAGATCCATCCAGTAGAGCTGATAATTATTTTCTCCACTCTCAAAATTCGCACATACCTTGGAGGTTTCCATGAAATGACAGCCCACTTCTCGCTGACGCCATTCACTGACAATGCAACAGGATTTCCTGGTAAAACACCGTAATGCTCAAGAACACAGCTTCCGTAGAAAGGCATATATTCGAGACACTTGAAATGGTTGTAATCGATTTTGGTCACCTTGCCCGTGCAGAAGTAGAGGCAATCGTTAGGTATACCCCGACGACGGCAACAGTCCGAGTGATCGATGTCGTTGGCCATACACGAGAATGTCACATTTGCCCATGGGGCGCAAATCATGATATCTGTCAAGCTGTTTTGGCAAAAAATATTTTAATGTAAAGCTTTGCAACCAAAAAATCGTTAATATATATAAAAGATGATATGTTTGCTGTGGTATATGCGAGCAAAAGCCTTGATCTGATATCAATCTGATGATGCACGCTTGGTGCACATCGATTGAACACCACAGAAGTTCTATCTTAATTTTCGCACCACCAGACAAGAACTAAGAACGAGGTGTGAGCTTACAGATACGCACATCATCGTACACCGGAATAGCTCTAACTCGTTAATTTAACTGTCAAATTGGCAAATTCTCAGATTCCAATATATTTTTACATCATTAGGTACATGACACCCCATGACAGTGTATACACCTGTAGATTCGATTTTCGTTTAAGTAACAGACATATAAATATTTTAGAGGGATTGCCTGTATGCGATTGGTGTTGTTGTCATAGCGGAGAAAATTCTACCTGTTCTTTCCGTATCTGTAAGATTGTTACTTACGTCGCCTCGTGAGCATGGCTCGGATCACACATTGTTCGAAGGCATCTTTCCTGTTTAACTTCTTTTTCGACGCAGCAAGCGCGTATATCAGGGATAGTTTCTTTCGCCGAAGCAGCCTTCTTATCGCCATCATTTTTCTTCCGGAATTCGCTAAGGGTTAGAACTCGGATTGGAGGAGTCGGTAACGATTGGCCTTCAGAGTTCTGGGCAAAAATCGAGATCTGGTACATCGTTGAAGGCTTGAGACCGTCCATAGTGAACGACGTCTGATTGGAGGGAAGTTTGATGGAGTGACCGAGGCTAACGCCAGATGTCTCCTCATCTGAACCTTTTTTGTCATCGGGCTAAACCAAAAAAAAAATCAATCAGTGTGCTTAGCATAAGTGATCTGAAACTTACCTTAGAAAAATGCTGCCAAAATCAAGAATACAGCACGTGAATTTGCCGTACCATAAACGTTATCATCAGTCGGTTCAACAAACTTGACGTTTCTTGTCGGCTTTTTAACTAATACTATTGTAATAAATAAAAAAAAACAGGTACGTCTTGTTAGCATTAAGGAATAGCAAATAATTTGTACTAAATAGGCGGTGAGTACACATTTTATAATACCTTTGTCTCAGTCGAGACGGGCATCATTTTGAGGTTCGGATCGAACGAGGTAAGTTCAGTGATATTAATAACATAGTTTTGGACAGCAGTAGGTTGATGAGGAGCGAGCCAGTCGATCCTCAATTGCGTTGGCGAGATAGGTTGAACCTCGACATTTTTCGGTTGACCCGGTAAAAGCTCTGCAAAATAATAGATTTCGGAACTCACACAAGGGCTAGAAAAATATCTTTAACTGTTTAAAGTATGATGACGGAAACTTTATTCTACGTAAAGTTTACTTTGAAGTATACATAGCACACCTCCCTGTATTGAATTGGTCACTCACGCGTATCACATACACTCGTGTTCTTAACGACCATAAAACAATTTTCTTATCATTTCGACTGTATAGGCTACGTTGATGCAACAGTTTTCTATCGGCGGCACAAGATTGATACAATTCGTCAGTGCATATTCGTCAATGAGTCGAATTCGAATGAACCCACACGAGTACGTACCGATTCCACTGGAAATACAAGCGAGTGTCTGCATCGTGTAGTCCATACATTTGTAGTGCTCGGTAATTGTCTGGAGAGAATAATCACCCACACAAACGCTGCGACACGTTTTAGGGATACCCTGCTCCTCACAGCACGGCATATGGTTGCGGCCATCTGTTAGGCACTCGGTGAGTGTCGAAATATGTTCTAGGCACGAACGGGGACTGTTGTGTGCGCCGGTCACAATGCCGTGAAGCGTGCAGTAGCCGAAGCATTCTTGCGGAATACCCTGCCGCGCGCAGCAGGCTGAACGCGAGGTAGTCAGTCTGGTTAGTTCGTTACTCCTTGCTTTCGCTCAGAGAATTTGCATTAGGCAACTCAAATAGATCAATGATATGTCAGAGAAAATACTCGTTTTAGCGTCGTCACGGTTAGTCGTGCAAAGCTACATTGCATACCTGTATAATTATGAGCTAGATTAAGTGACACCGTTTCGTCACGAACCGGTACATCCTCTTGAATGACGGTAAGTAGCCTCGTGAGCTTCTGGTTGGGCTGTGTATTCAACTCGCAACTGTAACGGCCCGAGTCACTGACTCGCGTTGGAAAAACCCGAAGGACCCAGCTATTATGCCCTATATTTAAAATCCAACAATACAGCAGAAACATGCGCCGAAAAAAATTAATTATTGTACAGAAACTATAATAGAATGAGTATATTTTGCAGCCGAGCAAATCACATCAAAACGCATAGCCATGCCCACAGTTTGTATAACTGTTAACGCTTTAAAACCGATTTGTCTTCTTTGTTTCTAGCTAAAAATTCGAATCTCTGCGCAGTACTTAGAGCTTTATTCTGAAGTTATCTTAGACAGGAAAAAATGCGGTCTGCAAGTTACAAGTACTATTAATATAACACGTTGTTACGTAAAATTACATTAAGGTAGGGTAGTTATCTTGTCGCGTTGCATTATATTTTACACAATTATTTCGCTTATGATTAGCTTCACTTACTATATTCAAAATGCAACACATGCAGCCGCGTGTCAGCACTGCTAATATCATTTTGATCAGTTCTAGCTTACAGCATCCTTAAGCACAGAGATGTAGCCGTATTATTACTATAAATGGAAAGTTTTATTGATATTAAAGACTTACTGTAATGAAAAGTTAAAAAAAGCGTAAACTGAAGAGATACTTACCGGTTTCGTTATCTGCAGCATTACGTGCCGCGATCGATCGCATGCAAAGAGCAACATTTAGAGAAGAGATCGTCAGTCTCAATAAAATTCGGGTGAGCTTTTGCTTTCCCTTTGTTATTGTCAAATAACCACCGAACTGAACGTTTCTTGTGTATAATGTTGCAGTTAACATGCAGAATTATCTGAGACTATATATATATATATAGTATATATATATATATACATATGTAAAGATCGCATAATTTCTGTGTAACACTCAGTTATCTCATGAACAAGGTCATCTGCTATACATTCACCCGCACCATCCACAAGGCTATTCAATATCCGAAGCATTTGTTTTAGCTTTTAAAAAATTCATCTTAATTTTATCCTCTTTTCGTCAAGTTTTCCAGAAAACTACATGTCGTCCTTGCATATACATTGTTGAATCATGCGAACACACGCTGTCATATATTTTGCGGAGTGTTTTAATTGAAATTACTAGCATTTCTTTCGAGCATTTTTACGCAGGTAGATTGACGAGATACTAAGCTAAGCGCCCATTTTCGGTTCAAAAAAGCACAACAAACCGATTTAATAAGACAGATTTAATAAACAAAAGTAGACTAGCGAATAAAGTGCAAAATATCGTTGTTTTTCCATATAGTTCATATGGTGACCAATGAAGTTACCAAAAAATGCTCACTTCTGAAGGTCGACCATTATACCAGACATTTTATGATTGGATTAATGTTTAATAAGGGTCCGATTAACTACACGCAAATACACGATGGAGACGTAAATGTGTAAGGTCAAGTTCAAACAAGTTTTCTACGTTCTAGCACGATCTGTATTACAACTACCAGGTCAATTAAGGAGCACATGTTGTTATTTTATTTTATGAAATTGTAAAATAACCACTGACTTTTATTGTGGAGAACGGAAAATCGCGAGTCTCCGTTGACGCGATTTGTTCCTACGGTAAGCACCACGCCAGTGTCACCTTCAGCAAGTTTCCTCCAGAAAACTGTGTAATTTTGCTGGTCCGTGACAACACAGTCAATGAGAGCTTCTTCGTTAGACGTTGCCAAAACCGGCTCAAGAGGTGTATTTTGCAAGCTAGGTACCGCCGCTGCAAAAAAAACAGGAAAAAAGAACACCGACTTCAGCACTCGCACATAATAACAGCGAAGTAGTCAATCAAAGACCCTAGGTTCATGCTTCGAGAATAAATATAATCGTAGTGCGAAAACAATTGGAGTCAACTTTGCTTTTATTACAGATACCAGTTTTCCTAAGGTATTATTACAAAACGATATCCACTTATTTGCAAGTAGGCCAACAAACTGTCAGGTAATTTGGTGCGTAGGACTCCGACCGTGGGTCTCTACTATTTGCAATGAGAGGACATACATTTGATGTATCATGTTTTTACAAAGGCCGAGGACACCACATCTAGCGCACAGAGAATGCCAGTGTTGATTGACTTCTGCAAGCTATATAGTGTAAATAAAAAGTCGAAAGTCAGTATTTACCGTACGTTTGAATACCAACATCGCCTTACTAACATTGGTTTTTTTTATCGCTACAGGGTGGCCAAATCCATGATTGATCAATCGATCGTTTAATAAAAACAAAGTTGTAAATACTTCGGGATTTATTACGCGGTGTCTTCTCCAAATGCACAGCTAAATAGCGTTACTGTTTGTTTAGAGCAATTTGACGCAGGTTAGCAATATCCTCTTAAGTTAGCGTACCTCATCGGCATTTTTGCTGCGCACCAGTTTGTACACAACGATTCCCCAGATAATACAAACTATTAAATATGGCATTGGTTATCGCGTACTTATCAACAGTCGCAGCGCGACATACACCCCTGCTGACCTTTAATAAGCTCATGTCTGATGTTAATAAATAGTGTATTTTAAACACATTTTATTAGTCAACAAATCATATGGTTTCAATTCGGATTTATTTCTTTACCGTTTTTACGTAAGGTCACAATTAGTTCTATTTGAAGTACTAGTTTCTCGAACAGAAGGAAGAGTAGTAGACGAAATTGAGTAACCATTTACATAATGTAGTATTTAAATTTTAAGTCGGCTGTATTCGTGTTAAAAATGACTACACATATTCGATCTTAAGTGGTTTTTAGTAAACTCTTCTTAGTAAAAGTTCGTAGTAAAAGGAATTTCCACGCATATGCGAGTAGTTAATTAAAAGAAACCGTGTATCAAAGGACACGAGTTACTACTTGAAATACACCAACTTTATTCAAAATGTACATGCTTTATGTGATGCGTGTCCACATTGTATATACCGACTATCTGTTTTGTCTGTACAACCTATCTACACATTACGTAGTAGGAAAGATCTATTGCTCGACACAGCTAGAGGCACACATCTATATCCAACCAGCGACTCATCCATTAAGCATCCATTGCATAAAAGCATGTTTTACAAGTTCTCACATATTGAGCTACAGTTGCGTTGCTCAAATATGCTGTTTTTAAAGCTGTACTATTTTTCAGTTTCGAAATTGTTTATATTTTCGTTTTCTTCCGCAAAAATGTTCGCAAGCGGTGCCACAATATACCCTTCCTCCATTACTGTAACATTATTGAGGACTAAATTTGGATCGCATTCTTCTGGCACGTCTTCCCTAAGCTCCACGCTACGATCCTCCAGGATAGTATACATCGGCTCTATCCCAGTAGTGTCCACATCGAAAATTGCCTGTGGTAAGACACGCAAGGAAAAATTTAAAGCGTTAACTTACATGCCGTTCTTGATAATATTATGTAGGATCTATTTTTGTTTCGTTAGTGTACGGTAACATATGAATACGTAAATGGAGCCATTTTGTATTTGGAAAAATATTTTCCGTCCATATCATAATATGATAAAATTAATTGTACCGAAACGATTTCAATAAATCTTGTTGAACTGGGGAACGATCAACATATCAAGTTAAACATATAACAAGATGCATAATAACTACAAAGTTTAAATTTAAAGCGTACCTGAGCAAAAGTAGCCGCCTCCTCGACCTTTTTCACAGCTTCAACTTCACCGAAACGAACAAGTGACAGTTTCTCCAAAATGTGAGCTGTCTCAACAGGAATGGTAACTCGTTCGCGGGGCTGTAGCGCTCGATATACCGGAGCCTTCGGAATACAATCCCGGGCTCTGCTCGACATCGCACGACATAAAACACTACGAAATCCAGCCATTACTTCTGTTATTGTTGTTATAGTCAACTTTTTTCTGCCTTTGTATACGAGTTACACAATTATTGATCATCACAGTTGTACGGAAGTTGTTAGTTTGCCGAATTGATAGGTTTACCCACACCCGAATCGCTTTTGATGCGAATGTTTTGCTGGGCGCCGTTGCTCTTGCACCGTCGTTGGTTTTGTCGACTGTTGTAGTTGGATCCACGTTAAAATTGTTGGATGGAGCATAAACTCAACTTCAAACATATATAAAGATCCGTATGCTTGTAGAGAGTGGAGAACAATATGCACGTTTTTTCCAGTAACGCAACTTGCCAACTGGGACTGCGAGTTTTCTGAAAAAAAGTAAAGGTATCTAAAGCCAATACCGGTAGCGATGACCTGAAGCCCGGCTCGTCCTTGACGTTACCGTCAGGAGAGGGCAAAAAGCGCGCGCAGGCGACTTGAATTGGGCGATGTTGGATTCACTTTGGCGCCAAGACACCTCTGCCTCTTATTTTATGAAAGTTTTTCTTTGGTGAGGTGCGGCTGAGTGCGTTGTGGTTACTATAGTTTTTTTTTGGTGTGAAGTTCGTCATAAAGTACCGTAATAATGGTAACTGACTGGGAGACAATTCAAGAGGTATAGAACTGCGATTAATTCATTAGATTTTTTGTCTGTTAAATCTAAGATAATTATGGATTATAGCAGTTTCATTGAAAGACCACACAAAATTATTCCCTTGGATCTGTTATCCTTTCAATTAATGTTTCCTTGTAAACTGTATGTCTTTCTTTAGAAGTGGACCGATCTTATTTTTTCTCAGTAAAATAGGTATTTTGGGCATATAGAAAAATACTCGAATCACTATTTATTATCATATTTCTCGAGTCATTATTTATTTATTACTAATATCAAAATTGCGCTCTCTGTTTTATATGAGTATCACACGGAGGAATTCGAACCAACGTTTCTGAATTTTGTAGCCGCTTTCTGTACCTCTTAGATGAATTACTATGTTTTGCCATTTTCGAACGAAATGCGTACAGTTAAATCTAGATATCGGACGCTAAAACTAAAACATTAGTAACAGCGTGTATCCAAAGAGATTCTAAAGATCTGCACAGAAGCCACCATTGTTTGTTTTTGATCTGCAGATTCAAAAAAAAATTATCTTCATTTTTCTGTACCTCAGTGTCGGTGTTTTCGCATTTTCAAACCACATACGGTCAAAGGTAACCACCGGTACAAACGTGCACAAAAATTTTCAGGCATTTTCACTGTTCGGCACAACATTTGCGGATGACGTTATCCCAAGTCGAATGATAAAATTCTGTGAAAAATATGGTATGGAAGCGTCAGATTTGTGTGATGAGTGGATTGCTTGGAGTAAAGGAAAGAGCACCGTGGTGCAATATGAGGCACTCGATAAGATGATCCAGGAATTGGAGAAACGTAAGCAAGCTGCCGCAACTCCTGTGCCTGCACAGAGGACACCCAAATTACAGGCTCAAAAAAGGTGACAGCCAGGCTTCTCAAGTATTGACTGACTCAAAGGTGGAGTCCCCTTTTTTTACGATTATTTGATTACCTTATTTGTACTGCAAGCGGAATGAAATACATGTTATCAATCGGCTTATTCATAGCGTGAACTCTGTTTGATAATAAAGCACAAGCCAACTCGTATTGATTGCAGTTTTGTTCTTTATATTGAATTGTGCTTTCTAGGGTATTGCAGCAGTCTCCGGCAATTGGGACACCCAAAAGGAAATTGGATCGTTCATCGAACGTTACCGCTCTGTCAGCGTCGTTCACAGACGGTAGCGACTCAAGCCCGGCTCGTGTCTATAAATCAGGAAAAAGAACTGGACAAGTAGTAGTATCTTATGTCGGAAAAGCATATAAAGAAATCAAACCAGCCGAAAAAATAGGTGCGCTGTTAATATTTCCCGCTTACTTGGCGCAAGTAAGCAGATCAATTTTGCCATTTAGAATGAACTAAGTCATGTGATTTCACGGCAACAGTTTTGAACCTTTCCATGTATGACCTTGCAATTTAATCGTTTCTAATCATCTTGACATTAAAGATGTTTTATTTCAAAGTAAAGTGCTTCCTTAATATTTACGTTATGATGAAGCTGACGCATGGCTAATTCAAACTGTTTTATTCGGTTTAGAGGTGATATCGCTTATCGATATGCCTATGAGCGGGCGTCTCCAGAATAAAAACCGCAATGCACTCAACATCGCCGTGCTCGAAAGGCTTGGAAAGGCGAAGGACTCATTCCAGCTTGAAGCCGATGCGCAATTGAAAGATATTAGTGGAGGATTTGTTAAACCGGGAGATTTGGTGTACGGAATGTTGCGCCCACCGAAAAAACTCAACTTGCCATTCTATTTATACGGAGACTATGAAACCTCACGGTCATCAAGTATTCCCGTATTGCCGAAGTTTCCCGCGTTCCCAGGTCAGGTTATCGTAGCTAGGGTGGGAAACTCGGCTAATGAGGCAAAATTTCTCGAAGCTCCAGTTAATCCTCAACTACCACCCTTACCAGCAAAATTACAACGCAAGGGACGTGTTCAGCTTGTTGTGGCTGCTGGACCATACACAACAATCGACACGTTGTCATATGAACCATATCACGATTTTGTTGACAAGCTGGCAGAGGACGAACCAGATATCGCCATCCTGTTTGGCCCTTTCGTAGACCGAAACCACAAAAAACTCTCTGTCAACCTTGACATGACTTTCGAGGCCTACTTCGGCCAGATAGTAATTCACCTTTCAAAGAAGCTGACTGGCAAACGAACCCGCATTTATGTTGTAGCTAACTATCGCGAAAACCATACAACCGGACGGGCTTTCCCTACCGAAAAGTATTCTCTTAATTTACCAAACGTCATTGCACTTCACGACCCGGCAATTCTTGACGTAAACGGCATCCAAATAGCGCTCTCGTCGACAGATGTTTTTCGAGCGCTTACAGACACAATGGTGAATGTCGAGGAGAATTGCGGTATCAATCGGCTAGCGGCGCGTATGCTTCTTGAGCAGCGAAGCTTCTACCCAGTTTTTCCGCCTCATGGCGATCTCACAGTTAGGATGCCATTGGCCAATCTTATTACGCTAGAGACGCGTCCACATCTTTTTGTGGCACCGGGAACAGTTGCACCCTTTGTCGTTGCCGAGAAAGGCTGTCTTTTTGTCAATCCGGGAGGCCTCGTAAAAGGAATGGACGCTGGCAGCTATGCCTTGATCGATATTGCCGCTTCGGATGGTGCCGATAATATTGTTGATACGACGAAAGTTACTGTGACAAAAATTTAGCACTGCTTTTATTTTCTATTGGTTGTACTTTTTTTTTTTATTTGAAATATGTCGCAGGAAAAATCAATGACATCAGACAGATCACAGGTATTACGGTAGTTAGCTTTTCGAGTGTTGCCATTGTAACTAGCGTCTCAAGCGTTTTTCTCTGAAACGGGAAATACACACCTAAAATATGTATACATATTATGAATACTTAGTGATAAAGCCTTCGATTGTTTGAAGATCACTAGCGAAAGCGCTATTACTAGAATGTCATTGACACTAGTATATGTACTGCATAATGACTTCGCGCAAAATGAACCAATCCATGAATACCTGTACAATAGACGAATAAACGATATTCGAACGAATTTTGATCAATATGATAGAATCGTGTATAGCTGTAACTGTGTCATTCCTTACTGCTTTACCTTACACTTATGTTCATTGTTAGGTAAATAATATCACGCACGCTCCGATTATAGTGCCGTCTGTTTTAGACGTTTATCCTGTTTGCATGTTTATAACAAGACGTAAGCGACGTCTAGAAGGATTGAACTACATGGGCATTTACGGGAGGAGTGGATAGTACGGATGCAGCATGTCTTTTGTGAGCAGCTTCGACTAACGCATTCTCCTTACACATACGTTAAATAAGATTGGCTGCATTAGTAGGCGCGCCTTACTATCGTCTGTGGCTTCGCAGAGCGCTGCGATTAATGTTGCCAGTTCAGTCTATTCAACAGAGCCATCATCAGCCGAATCAACGTTGTTCCATTCCGTTGGCAGACACTCGACGATGCAGAACACTCAAAGAGTGAAGGGACGTTCAACAGTTTTCCTTATTCATCATTTGCGTGTAACTATCCTCCAGTAACCGACAAAGCTATCGTAATTGTGCTTTTTCAGAGTGACTGTAATATTTCGCAATGTCGAGTACGGTGAAGGGAGTTATTCGACAATGTTTCTCTGTGTAGGGCTCGATTAGAACGTTTTTAGTGACTCAAGGCTGTTTTTTATTTGCTAGCTCGTGGCTACTGCTTACACAGCTTGGTCGGTATCTCTGAACCCTCAAATTCGTATTGCTTGATAGCTATTTAAGTAATATTTTCATGAATATTGCCTGAATAGCAACGTATGTTTGGAGAAACGCGTTGTATATTGTATTGAGATAGTCAACTGTCATATGGATCATGAGCAAATATTTTGTTTACGGCGTCGTTAAGTAAAAAAAAAACCAAAAACGATCCGTCTTAGTGATCGCGTTTTCGTTATTAAGTTTTCTGACTATGTATACACTTTTTGTGTACCGTAAAAACATATATGACATAGTTATTTAGAGCCCATAAGCAGTGAACGAATTCCGATCTAATGAATCCTCGGCTAAATTACACAGATGGAACATCCTACTTGTATAGAGCATATAAATTTATAAGTATATATTTAAAATCGGTAATATTGTTGTAATATAGTTTCGCTTTTGACACGATCTATTTATTTACGATGCTTGCATTTGGAGCCTTCACTGTCAGAGGTTTTCCATTTTACAACTAAATGACGGGGTGTGCCTCTACTGATAGTGATGTGAGGGCGTCGTTAGGTATTGTTAACCCATTTTTAATCTGCACAAGCAGTGCTGCGTCGATTCCCGAAAGGATCGTCCCCATAGAAATTCTCTATTACAAAGCTTAGTTAACACAGTGTCTTTTCATGATTTTTTAGATCGTCCCTCGGTTTGGAGTGCCTGGAATTTTCTAGAGACTTTGGTGTCTCTTTGGACACTGCCACGAAAGCTATTAGATGCGCTTGTTTGGTCTCGCAGCTACGCAATCTCCATATGTGTTCTTTTGTCTTTGGTCAACTTCCTATTTATCACGCAAATACTTTTTTTGTGAAAAAATATTCATAAAAATGTTTGGGGTAAAAAAATGTAGATATACGTAAATATTCTACGAAAACTTTGTGCTCAAACAAATATTTTATGTGAATTCGCCGTCCAAGTTTCTTCTCCACCTACGAAAAAAGATACTATATTCTATTATGACTGAGCTCATACAAATATTTAGTGCTTGCAAAAACAACATTTTTGATTTTTGCGAATCAGATAGGATCTGGCTGAACGGTGGGATAATAACTGGGCATGTCTGCTATCTAATAGTGCTGATGGAAATAATTATTATTCTGATCTTATGATCGATCTCCTATTTCGCAGCAGGTGGCGTGCGCATTGGAATGGAGCTACTGACGATGGTAACAGTTGCCATTAAATTCCAGTTACGGATGGTCGCTTCGGCATTCTGAGTCGAGGAACTTCGATTCAGGCGAAACACTCAACGCTAAAGATGTATGGAACACGTATGGCAAAATGCGCACGCAAACATCCCGGCAATAGGATTAGTATAAGTGAAAGGGCGAACATAATATGGCTCGTGTTGTCGCCACAGCTGTTGTTGTTTCTGGCGTATTGAAGTTCCGTCGAGTGTTTACAACTGGCACAGAATTCTACGCAGTTGTAGCTTCGGCCTTGGCATCAAATTTTACCGCGTCTCTGTTGTAGTGAGTCTCCATTGCGTGAATAGGTGTGCTGTGTATGTGTGTATTTGTGTGCGCGTGCATGTGTCTTTGTGTGTGTGTGTGTGTGTCTGTGTATGCGTCTGTGTGTATGTGTGTGTGTGTGTGTGTGTGACTGTAAGTGTTCGTGGTGAAACGCAGGAAGTCATAACTTACGGAACTACTCAGTTTCTGAGCTAATCAGCAGCTGTACTGCCAGAACGAGGAACTATCGTCGCACAATAATCAAGAGATTCGCTATTGTTGTCAATAGCTTTCCCCCTTTACCAGAAGGAGTTGGAATCGTTTGCTGTTGGAACGCTTGAATTAAACTCTAAAAATAGGATATAGGGTCTATATTTCATAAGAAAAAGATTAAAGCAAATGACACTCTAATACATGAATATTCACATTTGTGAATATCACTAAGAAAAGTCTAGAAATGAAAAATAATGGATTCGCAAAGTAATTTAAGTGGCACAAAAACACACTTTTTTGGGGTCTTGATTAGGTATGGACAATCCACTTGCTAAAATGTTTGCGCCAATTAATGGTATAAAACATGGCTCAGCAAAGTTCTAGACTATTTCCACGGGAAATTCTTAGACCTTTCTTACTTCGCGCTAAAGCGAGATTCAATTATGACAAATATTATAATTGAACGTTGAAAGACGGATAATGGGCAAAGTTTTTTAGTTAATCTATGAAATTCTTCTAAATATCTGTAATGCCTTTAAAGGTTCTGGCCATTGGTAGAGCTACGAATTCTGATCTGACATGTACAAAGCAGTGTGAAGATATAGTATTCTCTCTGGTAACCGTTTTCTCTACCATCTCCAATTTCTTGTAGAAAATGATAACCGTTTTGTCCTACCACTTGGTCCAGGTAGGTGAATGCATAGATATTTATGGCAATCCTTGCTGTTCATTGAGTCAATGTTTAATTCGATTTAAAAAAACTCTCTTGTTACGACTGAGAGTGAATTTCGATATACTTTATTTTAATCCGTATATGCTATTTCTAAAGGTCGTCAATTTACAACATATTTCAAACTCACTTATAATCATGATCCAATATCCGCCTATTTTTCTACCTTCGCTACCTACTTACTATTTTCTATACTAAATATTTCGTCGCTCTTGGACATTTATCATTAGACGGTTAGCTCCCAGTACAAACCGAATTGTGTCTATTCCCCCGATTGAACCTAGACCACTGCGTATCCCTTGGATTAGAAGGCAAACACGTTATCCACTAATCTTATTGTTGTACATTACCTATACAACTGAGCTAACTTCTGTGGAGACGGTGCCACAGGATACTCTACAGTCACACTCAACGCCACCACAAAATTGAGGTGTTCATTTCTGCCGCATTTTGCTTTCGCCCATCAATTCTAAATAAGCGTAAATTTTATTTGGTTATCTAGGAATACAAGTTTTTACCTATACTGCTATGCGAAGGTTTTTTGTCGAATACTACATAGCGATAACATTTAGTAACTGGTAAATGGATTCACTCTAGCTCTGTATTACGGTGAATTTAATCATAGGATTTTGAAATAATGCGCATGCTTGCAAGATATCTTGGCTTTTTGTGTTTACAGTTAATCGGTGGCAACATTGAGCGCGTCATTAATTTAGCAATTTTCATCAATATCGTACACAAAAAAATGATCAACTAGGCATATTAGCGTACTCACAGTTTGCGACGAGCGACTTAACTGAGAGCGTCGCTACGACTAGAGTCACTCTGAGCAGGTAGTTAGAAAAGGGAGATAATCTTCTCCTCCCTGTTCTGAGACTTTCCCAACTGAGATCCATAGCTGCGGCTGCGAGCAACCTGCTGCCGGATACGGCCACGTAACCTTAGGCACGTCCCTTCACCGCATCACTCGAGCGCGCACCAAGTTAGCTGCCAATCTCCGTCGACGTCTCCCGCTTCTAGTACGGCCAAGTCCCGGGCCCAATTCTATAGCTGCACCACGCACCGGCTTTCCTAGAAAAAGATATTTAATCTTCATAATCAGATTGTTGCATGTTCTTCTTTTTTATTCCTCATTTTTGTATTTTTTCGTTGCATCCTCCATGATCAATTAAGGGCTAGATGGGAGAAACGACATTAAGAATCAACAAGGCATGACACACTTACATCTTGCTCGCAACGCACAAACGAACAGGACATGGCTAACTTAGGCGCGTGCCATAAATAAGTGCGTTTGTGTAAATGAAAGTCGAAATTTCATATACCAAACGATTTAACTAGGCAGGCCTCGTTTTCGAGCCACTTTCGATAGAAGGCTTGCCACATTTTTTATTAGCTCGGCGAACGATCTTTTAAGGGCAGGCAAACGTGAAATCCTGAGCAGAGGTTACTTATGCAAGGGTTGGAATTAGCAAAGGCTGCATAATGATGTGACACGCATGCACAACAGTCATTGCTCTCTTTTTTCAGTAAACAACAATGTTTCCTTTGTTTTTCATGCATGTTGATGTAATAAAAAGAGTAGAATCTATGATCCTATCGTTACTGTTTTGCGTTGCACTTTTCTATTGCTTATACGAGCTTCTTGATGTATTTTTTAAATAAAAATAACAACATATTTCAAATTGGACCACGTGTATCTACAAAATGACGTACTTATGTAGAGTGTGCCTGCCACCTGTAGCAAAACGCTTAAGGGATAGGCACGCACATGAGACGGCGCTACACCTTGGCGTAAAGATAACACCATATCTGCTTAGCTTCAATTGGTATTCCGTGAGTGTAGATTTATAAGAAAGTTACAATTGGCAACAGTTGTCTAACTGACTGATGTAGGGCACTTTGTTGATCGTGGCAAGCAACCTTTCGCAACTTTATGAATTTTAAACAGGTTACATCCCGAGCGCTGTAAACCATTGAAATGCAATATAAGGTACCGCTCAATAATGCGGGGCTAATGTCTAATTTAATCATAGTTAGAACTTGGCTTTTCAACTTAAATTTGGAAAGAACTTAGCGGACGATTCAAGAGACTTTGACGGAAACCCGTTTCAGCGCTTCGCTATCGTCAATAATATGCGGCTAAATGTAGCTTTTGAGATTGCAAATTTCAGCAAGAATAGCTTACAAGCTTTACCCTACATCTTTTAGCTGGATAACTAGTTAATTAACTATTCTCCTTTTGTTCTACTTTCTTCTTGTCATGCCTGAAGTGTGTATTACACTAGACAATTTCTTTGAAGGCCGTTTTTTTTTACTATCAGACATTTTCTCGGATTCAGTGCATTAATTCCCATAAAGACAGCGTGTCTTAAACTGTTTTACATAATATATGTCTTCTACACGTGCGATACCGTTTCCAAAAGTGGCGCCTGCGTACTGAAGTTAGTTGCTTTGGAATCACTGACATACAAGAAATTACCTAAAAATATCGTCTGTCATACCTATAGGGTTTTGTTTATTTGGTATCGCCTCTTTAGGTATCGCCAACGACACGCACTATACGACCTGTGTGAATAAAGAAATTTATCCCTTTTCGTTGGGTAGATATTTTGTTTTTTATCTCCAGGAACAGTAATGTTTATTCAACATATGAACAAATAGATAAAAGCAACACTTGTTGCTTTGATAATCTGGTGGATGAAAAATGGTATCCGTTCATAACGTAGATAACCTTACCACGAACGTAATACATATGGATTTCCTAATATTTTTCTTGCGATGTTTGTGATTATATTTCAACTACAGAAAACAGTTGACGGGTTACTGCAAGTTGGTTAAGAGTTACGAGTGTAATAATGGGAAGCAATAGCGACACATTGCGAATATTAGCGGCGTGGCCAGCGATTTCGCGTCGTCCTTACTTAACCGTTAATGTGTTCCATTTTCAAGCGAGTGGCTCTTAGATCATAACGACGAGAATAATTGTCGTTAGTTGATGAATAAGTAATTCTTTCTGGCGGACTTTTTTGGGCCCGAGTAAAAATTTCAAACGGTTTTTGGTAAAGCTGTTTACCTGGTCCTTAAAACAGGCAGTCCTCAAAACACTGTGTAATATTTGTTTATCTGCTTGAAACCTCGTTTTTAATATTTATGTAATGCTGTTAGATTTAATCAACGTGTAAAAAATATTCGCATGGCAAATTTGATTTAAATTTCCCAATAGCTGAGAATGTAGGGAGAAGTAAATTAAGTAGTATATGATTAGTAGACATTTTGTGGCAAATCGTATGGACGATTTGTTCGGTTTAGGATTTGCTCCATGCATGCTATCTGTATTTGTTGTGTTTGAGATTAACTGATTTCTCCGAGTCGCAAATACCTAATTTTTGTAAGCTTTCCAATGTTTACTGTTGTACAATTGTCCACGATTTTCGTGACAGTAAAATTCGTAGAAGAAGCGTACGATATTTTTAATCATCTATCAATTAGGCTCAAGCGGCTTCTTTTCTTTGGTGTTATTTGATTTCGCCACCTGCGGACTTCAGCTAATGCAATCTGGCTATACTGTCGTTATCATCGCAAATTCGAAATTTCCTTCGTGGCGCTGTTGTTGCTCCTGAAGCTGGCGCCACCACATACGGAAAATGTTATTGGTTGGTAACGGCAAATCGTGGCTGTAGGCCATACTCTAGCTACAACGAACAGGGACGACATTCTCATCGTTGTCGCTATTGACGTTGTCGCCGTCGTTGCCATGTTTGGGCTACCGATGAATCAGTTGGTTGCGGTTGATAGGCGCAGCCGAAATCGGGGATTATTTGTTGATTCGGTCATTTTACATATTTGACTCTCCTTTTTTTTTCGATATGATAGCAGTCGATAACCTCGTTAAGCGGACATCGTCCTTTTTGTTTGAGACGGACTACAGAATAATGATAAAGGGGTTGATTTTTTTTGTTTTTAAAGTGACCGCATTTATTATACATGTACATTTACTATATACGAAGAAGCTATGCATGAGATAAGTTAAGAGATTCCCGGAATGGACTTTGCAGGTAATAAGCAATCAGGCGAAGGAGACCAATTAGCAGAGGAAACAGACGTAGCCAACGATTCAATGTTCCTTTATATTATGTGGATTAATGATCATCTACTTCATGCTCGGGAATACCAATCTGTCTATTTATTAAACAAAAAAACTATCTATACACGAAGCTCAACAGGGTTGGGGATGGTAAATCTACGTCTGGGCTTTTTTGCGCTAGCTTTTTCACAAGAGTGGATTCAGGACAAGGCTTTAGACATACTACACTTTTAAACAATAGTTGATGCCGTTGTCACCGTGTTTGTCGTTCCTTTAAGTCAATGCTTTTACCGTGCTGAACCATGATGGTAAGAGCACGTGCTTTTTGTTTTTCTTCAAGTCACTACCGCTGACTTGAAGGTTATTTTTAAACATATGGATTGAACAAATTTCCCTCCATACAGTTTCTACGTAAGTTGAATTAATTAAGCATCACAAATAACACACAGACTTTTTATTCCTTGTTCATAGAAATACAAGCGTCATGCATGGGAGCGGCACCGCGTTGTGTCTTGAATATACGTAAAGATCACAGTTTCACTCGTTTCTCAATTCCTTATAGCAGCTTTATGTTTTGTATTGTCCGGCTCTGGCGGTGCTGAGCTTTTCCTTCTTTTTAAAATTGTATAGTATATATAGTTGGTGAATTTCCTTGTTGTTCTTCTTCTGGTTAATGAGTGTTCTTAATCGTTTCCCTTTTCGTTGTTTGTTTCGACATTGTTAGACGATGTGGTCGTCGTCTGGAAGATTGCCACAGGATTAGCTGAAAACAGTCGTTTTGTACGATCGGCTTTCCTCGATTGCATCGCAGTCGTCGTCATTGTTGTCGCCTACACCTATACGAATTAGCACCATCATGTTTTCAGCTTAGCAAAATAACAACAAACCCAACAATCAGTACTCCTGCTAATCGCCCATAGCTAGAAAATTATCGTTCAATGTACCGAGTAACAAAAAAGATACCTGCAACTAATTATGCGTGAATTCGTTTCATGGAAACTTAACCAGCTACTGGTGCATTACACGGTTAGTTGTATGTGCGTGACTTTAACTTTTCAGTTTTTTGTTCCGCCTCTTCGGTAGTTACTCCCTTATAGAATGTTAGATACTTTTCGATAAAGTATTTTTGTCAACACGAAGGCAGGCGTGTTTGTGTGTGTATACCACAGTGTAGTTTTGCATATCTTGCAATGCTTTAACGTCACTACCTGCATTTTTATGAACATTATTGCGAGCATATACCACATGTTATAATTGTTACCCTTTCCAGTTATTCAAGTCGTGTTATCAAATCGCTTAGTATATAAATTTACGAGGAATGCTCGCCAGAATGATATAATTGTACAATTTGTCTGTTAGAGACCTCTTGCCATCGTTAATATGAACTGCTGTTAAACAGCATTCAATTTGAACGCCATTTTCCAACTAATAGTTATCGCTGAAGGGGGTTACGTTTCGAGAGGCGCACACAGCAGATAGAGGCAGCAGTAGCTACCGAGCTACAAAAAGCCTGTGGCACATTATAATGCGCAATGATATCCATCATTACGAAAAAGAGACAGCACTCTGGCTCGTTTTTCACTTACCCTTTATCCTATAAACGTACGTAGAGCTGACAAAACGGAAACCACCCGATTATCATTCCACGGTTGTGGATGAGCACCAGCTACCAGAAGTCGGCTTGTTTTTATTTGTAGCTATTCCACATACAACAGTTTTCTAAAGAGTTCTTGTTTCTCGATATTTCCTAATCCTTGCCTAGCCTTCCTCCACAACATGTCAATACATATCACGAGAACCATTTATGGCATCTTTTTTCATATAACTCCTACATCGTAAGGTTTCTGCATAAAGTAGGATTTAGATTGCAATTGCTCTCTTTGGACAGAAGTTTAAATGATTGGATCAGGTGCTGTTCACAACTGGTACAAGCCAACTTTAAACCACAAATTGACCTCATCTGTACTATGGCCGTTATGTGGACGCCTGTATGCGCCTATGCTGACAAACAGCATTTATCAGTGCACATATAGTAAACTATAATAAATAACTTTTACTAGTTTTATTGTATGCAGCAGACTGGTAATGAAACTGGTAGTAACTGGTTTTGAGAAACGAGAGAGATTGTTTTATGCTAGCTTTGTAACCATCGTCCCTTTTATAGTGTACTACTATGGCAACGTGTATTAAACCAATGTTTGAAAAATGGTGGGAAAGTTTAATTACCTTCTTCTAGTTTTAGGCGGTCTAGGCAGAGACTCTTATTTGTTCGTTAACGCATCGACACGTTGCTTCGCTTGGATCGAAATCCAAGTCACACAGGCATTTATCCATTAGGAGACGGAGACACACGCGCTCCATGTTTGTTTGTTTTGTTTGTTTACGGAAGTAAAATCGTTATGCTGGCAACGAGAAGTAAATAGGCATCTGTTAGGTGACAATGACTTCCCATCAAATGTAGCGAGCGTTTTTTAAGCGGTGCATTTGCCTGCTAGTTGGAACACCCTTCTCCTTCAACAAACGGTCGATTCAAATCCGAAGTTTTGCATATGCATTTTCTGCTATTCGTTGCAGTAAGATCAACTGCTATTGGCTTTATCACATGAGCGGTATTTTTTTTGTTGTTTAAAGCAGGCCGTCAGCAACAGACAAAGGACGAACAAAGCAGATGAAAAAGAAAGGATCAGTCGACGGTTTACGAAGCCGTCGTAATGATTACCTGCCATACATAAAAATAGATAAGTATATTGACTGCAATATCGTACTAGCATCCGACCACCGTTATCGTTGCCAGATTCAAATTGTGTCAAGTTTAGAGATCTATAGCAGCAGGCACGAGCTATCTGCATGCATTCATAAGAGCCACGAGAGCGTTTTTGTGGAGCCATATTTAGCAGATCCGCGTCTAAAAGAGGCGTCACATGTCAATAGATACGTAAAGCTGTGCTGTGATTGTTTAGCTCTGGTATCGTTGTCGTTGCTATTGGTAGTGATATTGCTGACGGTGCGCTTAATTGAAACGTGCGCTCAGCAGCTCGTAAAATAGTCATCAGATCTGGCCAAAGGTGCGATACGAGATTCTGCCAGTCCACGCCAACGCTGCAATGTGGAGCTCGGATTTCGCCATTGCAACAGGTTCATCATCACTCATCACCAAGTTCGTAGGCAGCTCTGCCATTGCTGCTTCTGGCTAATCTGAGCATCTTTTTTAGGTCCTCTGCCCGTCTATTTTCCTGCCGAACGGTGTGGATCGCAGTCGCGATGCGGGGGGTCGAGCACTAAACGGCAACAGTAAAAACTGTCACTACTCTGTCACCCACCCCTGTAAGGCACGCCGGCTGCGACTTATTGGCTTCTGCTGCTGACTGCAGCCATCGTGGACCATTATAAACGGACAGACCAGCGGTTAGGTTGGACTCGTATCGGGGGCAAGTCCTTG